TTTAATCCTTTCCAGAAACATCTTCTTAATGAAAGATAAATTCTCAATTCAGTATCGCAGGCGAAAATTTTGTTAATTTAGAAGAAAAATTGAGAATTTTTCAAATTCTCGATATTTCAGTTAAAAAGTCAATCTTTAAGGGTATATATTAAGCCTCTGTCCTCAGCGAGGTTTTTGATTACAATCTAGACTAAGACTCCGAGACCAGAGTCTGTTAAAATGAGGTCGGGTCGAGGATCTCGACCTCGGCGAAACCTCGAACTACTCTATTATATAGCAAAAAATTACTTTTCATTTTATTCTCATTATTATTCCTCTTCGCTCCATGTTTCATCCATTTCTTCTTCTTCATTTACAGGATTCTCAGCCTGTTGTTGTTGATCTTGAGGGTCAACATCCATATGTTGATGTTGATTTATCAGCTCTTGATCGATGGGTGGAAAAATTCGGTTAAAATTTCCAAAACCTATCTTAAAAATATAAACTTTTTAAATATTCATGATTATTTACTTGAACAGCCCAATGCTCGACCATTTCAACTCGAAACAAAAGGTGATTATACATCTCCCTCAAAAGATGCAACTGTACCCTTTGATTAATTATTTCCACGTGTTGGGCCTCCACGTGGGCCCTCAAATCCTCATTATCATCTTGGATGTTGTCGATTTTTAGACTCATCCTATCCATCAATTTTGCGAGCCCCAAATCTATATCCATGTTGTTATTATTATTATTTTTCTAAAAAAAATCTAAATTTTATAAAAATTTCAAGGAAAAACAAGAAATATAAAAAATAAGTAAAATTAAAGAAAATTAAAGATATGTGTAAAAAATTATTTGAATAATGTATAAAATAAATCTTTTTATATTCTCTCTCATTTCCAGTGTTACATAGGTCCATAGACGTATGCTCAAATTACGCCAGCTGTTGTAGGAAAACGGACTGTGATAAAATAACGGCAATTTTTGTAACAATCAAAAGAATTAGTGTACTGTTTTTTTTTTTTTAATTTAAGATAAAAATATAATATTTAAATTTTAAATAGAGGATCACTAATAAATTTTTAACTCTTAAAAAATTTTAAAAATAATTCTAAAAATATATATTTAAAAAATAATTTTAAAAATATTTATCTCGATTAAATTTAAACAGTATTAACAATTTTAATCTTTTTTAAATCGACATCTATTCTTGCTCCGGCACAATTTGTTCTATATATAAATATCAATTGAAAATATTTGAAAACTAGCTACCCGAACTACTCTGTGAAGATGTTTGATGCTGTTGTGGCACAACTTGGTCATCAGACCCTTTATAAAAAATTTTTAATACTAGTTTTTTCCCCTAACCATTCTCTTGTAATAACGTATTCTGCTGTTGTTGTCCATTTGATTGTCCACGAGCACGTATACGATCTCGTATTGCATTAATTGTACCATCCGATAATAATGGGCGAGGGAATTTGATTGAAATAATAAGATATTAAAATACAATTTAAAAATTCAAAACTTCAGTTTCCGCCCAATTTTCTATACGTCGAACACGTATATACAATATCCCCCAAGTCTCTTTGAGTTGAGTCAACATCACTAGTAAGCTCCCTAATTTCGCTCAATTTAGAAAAATAAAACTAGATTATACAAAAAGTGTAAGAAATAAAGATAGAAAATAAGGTGAATCTTCTATAGTTATGTCAATTAACTACTCTTATCATTATTTTTACATATTGAACGTTTACCAAGGGCAATAGGTGAAAATAATAAAGCTCGAGAAAAAATATCATTTATATAATGTTATTAATTAAAAGTAAATATGTACATATAGATATAATCTTTAATATTATTTTACATATATCAATTCCATTTAACTAAATCCACAATTTTAACCCTAAAACTATAAACTTCTGACAATTAAGCTCGTACATTAAAATTTAGAAGAATATTATAAATCACCGAAATAATATGTTATAGAAAATGTTATACCAAAAATCTCTACAGTTGTCGTAAAAATCTGTGATGTGTATAGTTATATCTCTATTGTGATAAATACTGAAATTCTTTTAACAAAATGAATTTATTTCCTGAATATATTATGTCGAATATATTATGTTTGATTTCAATATATTTTAATATTTTGTCAAATTTCCAACTATTTCAATATTTTTGCATGTTTTTACCAAAATTTTGGGATTTTTCTTAAAATTTAGCAAAAAAGTAAAGAAATTTGGCCTCATGACAACATAAATTCACAAAATTTTCACCTGCGGGGGGCTGAAAATTAGGAATTCTGGCTTATATAATGTAATTCTTATGGAAGATTGTGCTTACACTTTTTGTACTTACACTAGGAATTATTTTTTCCAATCTCTCTCTGGAGGGGTAATTAACAATGGGTATTTAATAGCGGGATAATTAATAGTGATGTTCAAGACTCAAAAAATATAAGAATCGCGAGTCGAGACCGAGAGATTAAGAGGGATATCACTTAATATCCCTTCTAATCCGCTTAGTATACATCATAATCTCAAAAATCAATTTAATCACCAAGTTCGCTGTACATATATATTCACTATTATTCACATTAATCTCTTAAACCCCCCCCCCTTTTTTTTTTCTCTGGACAGGAAGTCTTATCTATTCATTTTCTCACCGCCGGAAGCGAAAATTTTGAGAATTTGGTAAGGCCTCATGAGAAAAATAGCAATTGTCAGAGCCGCAGGCAAAATTTTTTTAATGAAGTTTAGTTGGTCATGAAGCCAGAACTCGTAATTTATACGCCAGAGGCGAAATTTTTGGAAAATTCGTGGCTAAACTAAAAATTTCAATATTTTTTCAAGTTTAAAAATAGAATTTAAAATTTAAAATGAAAATCAAAGTTTAAAAACATTTATTTTTAAAAAGAAAAAATTTTCCAGCCTCATTTCCTACCCTGGATTCGAACCCATTCCCTTAAAAATATCTAACTGAGTGGAGTCAGTCTAATTAACCACTCAACCATCTACCATCAAAAGGAAAAACGGGGGAAATTATAAGTATTTCTTGCATTTTTCCTTCAGAAAATGTAAGGGTAAAGTACGCGAGGTACGAGTAAAACTCAAAAAATTTCCATCATTAGGATTGTAAATTTGGTCTCGTTTTCCGAGACCAAAACACCGAAACCGAGAGCTCAAAAAACCCTAGAAATTTCTCGATTCGAGAGCGAGACCGAGAGTCTCGAACATCACTAGTAATTAAAAGTTATTATTTGAGAGGGTAATTATTTTAACATTTACGGTATACTATTTTGAGTAAATAATTTTTTTTGAAGGGTGTGCATGTGGAGATTGCGCATCATGCAAACTCTGGCAATGGGTAAAGCTTTATAAGGAATATGTAAATCAGGAAAAATTACTGCGTGAAAGAAAATCCTTATTCATCTCTAGAAGAGTTCATGACAATCATAAGAAAGTAATTGATTTATTGTTAAAAAGGAAAATGAAACCTATAATAGTGGATGAGGATGTACAGATATTATTTGGTAAGTTTAATATTTTTTACAGATGATTTTTAATATTTTAGAATATATACCAAATCCTTATTACAAATTGAAGAAGCAAACAGAATTAATATTTCTACCACTTGAAAACACACTTAAGGGTATGAATTAGAGATGTCCAAGACTCTGGGCTTGGGTCTTGTTTCCAAGACTTTTCTAGGTTTTTGAAAAATACACCCCTAAAAAGTGAAATATGTAAAAGCGAAAAGCGATAGATGGTAGGTGTGAGGAGAAAAAAGAACTAAATTTAGACTAACAAGAATGATTTCTTTAGTTTTTTAAAAAGAGATGAGTCAAAGACTGTTTTTTAAGAAAATAAATTATTATAAATACATAGATATTTTATTAATTGTTTATTTTTCAAATAGATGAAAATGATAAAAACTAATTAATCATATTCAAAAACTTTTCATATAGAGTAGCACTTGTATTAAAGGCTTTTAATTATTTTTTATAGCTTACTCTTCTGTTTTACCCTCATACTCTAGAAACATAGAATCTATTAAATTTATATCTCTTTGTTACAGGAAGTTTTGTTATATTTGTTTTAAAAGTGATAGAAAAAAGAAGAGAAAATTTGACAACAGAGAAGAATTGTGGTAAATTATCCTTTTCATGATTCATCTATACTCTAAAAATTTATAACTCTGGTTATTGCATAGGTGTTTATGCTGTTTAATGAAGTGTATAAAAGAAGATAAATTGACATTACAGTCAGTGTTCACACTGGCTGTAAATTAAGAGAATGGTCAAACAAATAAAACCCTTAGGAAATTTATCTAATAATATTTTGTTAAAACTGATCTTAAATCTACAAAAATTTTGTTTCCTATTTAATTTTTGCATGAAAAATTTAAACTACATATTTCATAATATTTACATTACTATAAACACTGAATACAAATTTATTTTTAATTACTATTATTTTTGAAAATTGTTTTAAATCTATAAATTTTCTTTATTTTTTTCTTTTTCATCTATAAAGATGAATGATGAACTTTACAAAAAGCCTGCCAAATTTTAAGATGAGGTTTAAATTTTTAGTTTAAAAAAGGTCAATGACGAGGGGTCCGCGACAATTAATATTTACTGACACAAGGCGGCACCTTTTGATCCTTTGTTTACACTTTTAGTACACTAAAATTCAAATATTTTTAGCGTCCTTTTTGAACCATGTAAAAAGGAAAAGTACATGTGACTTGTCAAGAAAAGGGGTCCATCAAAGACGGCACTCTTTGATCTTTTTTTATTACTTTGTTTACTACTTTTTATACACTTTTATTACACTAAAATTCAAATATTTTTAGCGTCCTTTTTTAAACTTGTAAAAGGAAGATTGACATGTGACATGTCAAGTCAAGAGTGAGAGGGTCCGTATTATTGAAGGGTAAAAATAATATTATAGATTTTTAAGTTCATTCATCTCTTATATTCTCATCTTTTAAATTCCACTGAACCTTTTTTAATGGAAACTATTTCTTCTAAATTTGTTTGGCATGTGCCTGATCTTAAACAGACACGAGAGGGCTTACCTAAATGCAGATTTCTACATTTAGCTAGTAATTTACCAATTTTTAATTTACTAATCTTTTTTGTTATGAAGGTGAACGATTTTACAACACTAATTTTCCTGGTGTAGGATGGGAGTTACATCTTCAATTAAGTCAAGGATCAGAGTATACTTTTGTTTGGCTTTGCCAAGTTGGGCCAAATACAATAAATGCTCTTGTTAATACAAAATATAAAATCTATGCAACGACGGGTCTATCTAATACCTACATCATTGATATTGTCAAGTTAAAATGAATGAATTAATTTATAAAATTTTTATTACTGCTTTAGATCAACATACAAGTTTGAGAATCAGGAACGAATGGGATATACAAGTTTTTCTTTGAACAACGCTGTTCAGTATAATGGTAAATGCAAAATGGACAAACACAAAATAAACTAATTTTAGGTTCTTTATTTCTTCATTTAGAAGTTGAAGCTAATTGTCACAACTTAACTATTGATTTACAAGAGAATTTTCGCAATATGTTCGAAAAGGAAATATTTACTGATTTTGTCATTAAGGTTTTAGAAGTTTATACTTAAGAAATTATATTATAGGTTGGCGATGTTCTTATAAAAACTCATCGTTGTATTTTGGCTCAAAACAGTGAAGTATTCCAAAAAATGCTTGAACAAAATGGAATGATTGAAGCACAAAATGTATATTTTTTATGATTAAAATTAATTCATTGATAAATTATAGGGTGTATTGACAATTTCGGACACTTCTATTGAAAGCGTACGCGCAATGCTAGAGTTCTTTTACACAGGGCAAATCAATAATGGTTCTTATAAAACGTATTTTTAATTTGAACTATAATTAAGCTATATTGGAAAGTCATGCAGAGGAGATTTTTGCTATTGCACATAAATATGAGGTTGATAAGTTAAAGTATGCATGCGAACATTTTATGACTTCTAAGATTGGTAATGAATCTCCAAGTTTGAATTTTAAATCTTTTTTTAGATGGCGAAAACATTGTGAAATACTGCAATATAATTAGTTTATATGGAGCTCCAATACTAGAGAAGGTATGATTTACGAGTTTTTGTACATCCTATACTTTTCAAATTTAGTGTATTAAGAACATCTTTGAGCCAAAGAATGGAAAGATGTGAAAAGAATTTTTGGGCTGTAAATTATTAAAATCGATAATTATTAATTGTTCCCTCAAAAGTACTTTTTGAATTTTTGATTCTTTGTTAACATTTACTTTACAAAATAAATAAATTGAAAAGAAGAAAAGGAGGAATTACGGTATTGTAAATATATTATACGGTAAAGAAAAAGTGAATAGTTGTCAAAAGGATGGAGGGAAAGGTTACTATTTTGTAATAAATTTTATTCATTGTTTTCAAAATTATTTAATATAATTATAGGGTTTAGGGTAAAAATACGGAATTAGTGCAAAGAAGATAACATTTAAAAATTAATGAGGAGAAGTAATTGATTTTAGGGGTAAAAATGCGGAATTAAGAGAAAGAAGATAACATTTAAAAATTAGTGAATAGAAGTAGTAGATTTTAGGGGGAAAATTACGGAATTAAGAAAACAAATATAACATTTAAAAATTTAAAAACTAAGATCAAAATTAACAATTAGAAGTAGTCATTTTTAGGGGTAAAAATGCAGAATTAAGCAAATGAAGATGAAATTTAAAAATATAAAAAACTAAGTTCAAAATTAACAGTTAGAAGTAGTCATTTTTAGGGGTAAAAATGCAGAATTAAGAAGACGAAGACGAAATTTGAAAATTTCATAAAAATTACAATTAAGTTTATGTGCGCACGTGTTGTCTGCATATACACGTGTGCACACTACACATGTGCACACACGTGTGCACAAATTAATTCAAAATTAACAGGTAGAAGTTGTCATTTTTAGGGGTAAAAATGCAGAATTAAGAAGACGAAGACGAAATTTGAAAATTTCATAAAAATTACAATTAAGTTTTTGTGTGCACGTGTTGTCTGCATATACACGTGTGCACACTACACATGTGCACACACGTGTGCACAAATTAATTCAAAATTAACAGGTAGAAGTTGTCATTTTTAGGGGTAAAAATGCAGAATTAAGAAGACGAAGACGAAATTTGAAAATTTCATAAAAATTACAATTAAGTTTATGTGCGCACGTGTGCAATACACATGTGAGAACATGTATTAAATTTTCCCAATACTTGATATTTTTTAATTGTTTAAAATTTATACGTTCCCTCAGTTATACAAAATATTTTTAATCGGCAGATGTTTAATTCGTTGAATATTGTTACTTGTATCATTTCTAGTAAACAATTTAGATGACCTTGAGAAAATTCTTTAATTTCTTAAAATGTTGGGCTTAAAATGTTGGGAACATTTTGGTTAATAACATGGGAACCAAAAAAGATAAACAGATGCGGTTTTTTGCATCTGATAGGGCAAAGAATTCTCTAGAAAATGACCGGTCAGTTTTTTAGATTAAGCCCTAGAAAAATTTTTATGACATTTTACAAAAGTAACATATTTTTCCCAAAATCTCAATTTTTCCAGTGAAGAAAAGAAAGGGAAAAGGAAGTTAAACCCAAAAGATCAACATTCCTGAGATCACCCAACTGATTACGTAACTCTGAAATAAAAATTTCTACTTACCCTTTCCCCAGACCAATTAGTCACTAATTGGTTCCCCTCACCCCTTCTAGTCAGACTCGGCGGCATTTCCCTTTGATCATCAATCAAAGGAGTGGCGGCTTTCTTTGATACGGTGGACCCTTCATCGCCCCCTCCCCCACACCAATTAGTAAACAAATTGGTTTCCCTTACACCCAACCCCGCAACCCCGACCAATTTGTCAAGCAATTAGCAGCTTAGATCCCTTGACCCCCTCCCCAGACCAATTTGCAAAACAAATTGGTTTCACTTACACCCAAGATAGAGTAAAGAATTCTCTAGAAAATGACCGGTCAGTTTTTTAAGTTAGGTCCTAGAAAAATTTTTATGACCGTTTTACAAATGTACCTTATTTTTCCAAAAATCTCAAATTTTCCAGTGAAGAAAAGAAAGGGAAAAGGAAGTTAAACCCAAAAGATCAACACCCCTGAGAACACCCAACCAATTACGTAACTCTGAAATAAAAATTTCTACTTACCCTTTCCCCAACCAATTAGTCAATTGGTTCCCCTCGCCCCTTCTCGTCAGACTCGGCGGCATTTCCTTTGATCATCAATCAAAGGAGTGGCGGCATCCTTTGATACGGTAGACACTTCCCGCCCCCTCCCCCAAACCAATTAGTAAAACAAATTGGTTTCCCCTTGCCACCTCCCCGACCAATTTGTCAAGCAATTAGCAACTTAGATTCCCTTGACCCCCTCCCCAGACCAATTTGTAAAACAAATTGGTTTCACCTTATCACATCCTCCAAATCAATTAGTCAACTAATTGATTTCCACTTACACCCAGCACTAATTAGTTCACCTTACACCCAACCCCCAAACCATTTAGTCAATCAATTAACACCTCTTGGTAATAAAATTTTTATTACCCCCCTCCCCCAGACCAATTAATCAATCAATCAACTAATTGATTTCCTCTTACACCCAACCCCCAAAACCATTTGTAAAACAAATTGGTTTCACCCTTACACCCAACCCCTAAACCAATTAGTACTAATTAATTCCCCTTACCCCTCCCCCATCGCGCGCCAAACCCATCAATAGGTTCGCGTTAATAGGGGTGGACCCCTCCTCTTAAAATGATTTATGAGGTACAAATTGGTTCGGACCCCTCCCCCGATTAATAATTTATTACCCCGGCGGTAAGATCAAAGAGAATCATCAAAAAGATCAAAAGAAAAAGCCGACAAAACCCCCTCATACCCTTTGGTTTTTGTCGGACCCCTCCCCCAGACCCCTCCCCCCGACACCCTCCTATAGGTTGGCGGCATTTCCCTTTGATACGGTTAGGGGGGGGTTACTACTGACATGCTTTTTGTGCTATTGCAATGGATTAAACCAAATGGTAATAGTTAGGAACAGTGCTTCGAAGCTCGTACCCAAATTCGTACTCGTACCTCGTACTCGTACCTGGTACGAAGTACGAGTACGAGCAAAAAAATGAGGCAGGTACGAAGTACGAGGCCAAAAGAAGTGAAAAGACGAGGTTCGAGGCCTAAGTACGAGCTCGTACTTCTCGTACTTGGTGTTAATAGGAAAATTGAAAGAATTATATTTAATTCCTTTCATCCATCATTATATGTATGGTCGAGTGGCCGAGTGGTGAAGGTGCTTGGCTGCGCCAAAGTCTGTAATGACGTGATATTGTGTGCGATTCCTATTCAATTGCCAATGATTTTTAATATTTTTTCATAAATAACTTATTTTATAAGTTAAATTTTGTTTTAAAAATTATTCTGTTTTTACATGGAGTAATTATTAGATTTTGACCCTCTAAAATTTTTAAAATATCTTTATCTTGAACACTAAAAAGTGAATTTTTTCTCCTACGGCCTTCCAAAGCCTACGGCCTTCAAAATTTTTGAAAATTTGCGCCTGCGGCGCAAAAAATGGAAGAAATCTGACTCAAGGACATCTACAAATTTTTGCCTGCGGCGCAGAAAGAGAATAAGATTAAGAGGATATCAGGAGATAAAAATATGAAAAGTTTAGTGAAAAGGTATAAAGTTCCATGAAAGAGAATGAAAAACGGATGAAAAAATACCGGGTTTCGGGTAACCTCTTGGAGCAAATATTGCTCCTTGTACTCCAAAATGCTCAAAAATTTTGCATGCGGCGCAGAAAATGGACTATATGTGAGGATTTATGTCTTCAAAGCCTTCTAAGATTCAAAAATTATCGCACAAACGCTTAAAATTTAAAACTAGATGTCCTTGACTCCAAAAAATCATAAAAATTTTCGATTTTTTGCTTTTTTCTCAAGTATGAGTAAGTACGAGGTACGAGGCTAAAATAAGGGTGGTACGAGGTACGAGTACGAGCAAAAAAGAGGTGGTACGAAGCCAAAAAAAGAGGTGGTACGAAGTACGAGTACGAGCAACGTCAGCCGAAGTACTCAACAATTACATAATAATCTTATAAAATTTATTTGAAAAAATTTTTTTATTTTTTAATTTTTTAAATATTTTTTTTTTAATTTTGCGACCAGAAATATAACATTTTCTTAAGTAAAAAATAATATAGAGAAGGATGATTTTTGTAAATGATTGTTAATTTAAAAAACTGAGTATTTAAATAAATTCAAGAATTATGTTTAAGAATTATGTAAAATTCAAGAGTTAACGGTATTTCAATTCTATAGCTTAGTAAAAATTAACTTGTTTTGTTTTTAATCAAATTTTATTTTAAATTTTTTTAACATACCTCAACAGTTATTCCATCAAATATGTCGACAATTAATTCATAAGGTAATGCCTTATTAATTGCTTTTATATTATCAGATAAAAGCAGTGTTTGTTGTTTTTCTAATATTGTCATAATATTATGGATTCTGTTGAATAATTAAACACCGAATTTTTTTATTAACACTTAAATTTACTTTTATTTATAAAAATTCCAACTAATCATCGCTCAAATGTCGTTCTTCCTCGTCAGAGCAAAACTTCGACCAGACAAAACCTTGAACGACAAAACTGTAGACAACTAGACAACTTTTTTACCAAAACTTTGTCCGACCATATAACTTCGTCCAACAAGAAAAAAATGCATTTTTAACGGTTATTTTGGCGCTATGAATGTTGCTTGTTTTTTACAACGAGAGATGTTGTTCCGCCTAGTGTTCTTTAGATTGATTTTTTCGGTAACGGTACGTAAGACCCCCCCCCCCCCCCATATTTCTCGAACCTATTCCTGAAAACGAACCCTCCTATTCCTCGAAACCTAAAAGACCCAAACAATTTAAAATGCATTTTTTTCTCTTTGGACTAAGTTTTGGTATGTCGGAGTTTTGCTGGACAAAGTTTTGGTAAACAGAGTTTTGTCTGTTGAAGTTTTGTCTGGACTGAGTTTTGTCATTCGAAGTTTTGCCCCTCACCCTCTAGATCG